TCAGATCCCGTGGTTTAAAACTCATGCTGGAGACACGTGCATGTGTGCCCAAAATCTGGAGAGGAAAATGGAGAAAGGATTGGAGTGTGGCCATACCCCATGTGGGGTGTTTTTTCATTTTCTGTCTCTCTGTCTCTTGGCGAGCACACATACCCTATAGACAAAATCTCTCTCTCTCTCTCAAAAAAAAAAAAAAAAAAAAAGCCTAACATTTTTACTGAAGAGTTTTCAGAAGTATTCCTCTAGTAGAAAAGTTAATAGCTAAAGCCACAAGATTTTCAAAATATGTTTCAAAGTGACAAGATTTGTTGCCTGTCATGGGTAAAAGTTGGGCAGTCTGGACGCCAAGCATTAATTTTATTTACTCTGAATCTTAGAGAAATGATCTACATTTTTAAAAACTTTATTTTTATTTCTATGCAAAGGGCTTAATAAATGCCCTTCACTAATTTATGTAGGGGATATAGAGAGTTGAGCTTTGAGTCCCTTTATAGAAAAAGTAGTGAAAAATCAATCTTATAGTTGTGACTAAAGTTGCTGCTACTGTTGTTTGTAACAGTAATGCAAGAGGTATTCATGAAGTTTGTACAAAATGTATATTATGAAAAAATATGCATATATTTCTAAAATTTTTTGCACAAAACTAAATTCATACTTTATTTCCTTTTTTCATAAGATTTTTGATGTCCCCTTGCGTTACCATCATTATCAGATTTTAGATTATGGGAAAGGGTAGTTCCTTTTTTAGTATAAGATATTTTCCTAGGCTATGAGTTAGTATTTTACCTATTTTGCAGTCCCTAGGAGTGGGGAGCCTCTGTCTTTGTTTGTTTTGTGTGTTTTGTTTTAGGAAAAAAAATTTTCAGAATGAAGTAAGTCAGATGTAAATATTTTTTCTTGCATATGATTAAGATTCATGTAATCTTAGAGCCTTTGGTTTCTCTGAAAATTGCATTTTTCCTTGAGCACAGTGACAAAGGGAAAAGTCTGTGGTTCTCTCAGAACATTGATTTCTTCTCTAAAGCTTCTTCAGGTGAATGCTAAATACCCTTTTCACTTTTCTTCCAAAGCTATCAATTCCTCTCAGTCATAAGCTCTTTCTTTTTCTTTTATAACCCAGGACTGAGCACAGGTACTGGGCCTGTACTAGCTGCTCAATGCCTGTTTAACCACACAGTCCTAAGAGTGATGAGGACAGGGTGAGCATTCTAGAGGACTAACCCAGCATGAAAAGTTAGGAAATAAGTGTGAGTCTGATGGACGGTTTTTAAGTAGGGCATGGCCAGAGGGGAGTCTGAAAAGAAGGTTGGTGCTTGCTTTGAGATGGTCCTGTGGACTGCTGTGCATGGAACCAGGGAGCATGTTTAGTGCTTCGGGGCTTATTTTTAACTGGGCTGATGATATTTTAGCAAGCCCTTGATGGAGACCCAGCCAACTTTTACTCTTTCCAAAGGGCACTAAAGTTGTGGATGCTAATAGAGAAAGGAAAATTTCCTTTAGAGGTAAAATATGAAATCTGATTTGAAATAAGGATTGTCTTCCTTGAGAGCACAGATAGATATAAAATGAGGCCTAGCATTGAAAATCTCTTACCCTCTGGAGATCCAAGTTTAAATTGCTAACTTAAATCTTCATCTCCTAGGTTGCTTGGCACTGACAACCTATGTCCACATCACGGAACTATCAGGCAGCCTCATTTATGGACTATGTTCCCTAGAGTAATTCCAGACGAAGAGAGTTTTTATAGTAAAGATAAGATTATCGAATAAAACAGCAAAGAAGAAATGAATGTAACTGTGGCCTAATAAGGCAAAACTCTGATGGGTGTTCATAGTTGACCTCTCCACTGTGTATTTCTTAAAATAAAAATATACCTACCTTGCACCCTCCATTGAAAGGATGTAACTAATGAAGACATTTCTTACATATTTCTTCATCATGTTTTTTCTCACTTAGGAAAGTTTATATGTTACAGCCACTTAGATCCGCATATGAAGTTTCAGGTATAGTTGGAAAAAACTGAATATAGAACACATATATGACATCAACGTTAATAAGGATTTTATTTGTAAATTCTGTTCTCTCACAGAAGTCAAAAAACAATATTTCATAATGTGTGCTGCACCCCCTGCTGGCTATATTGTGGCACTTCCTAAGCACAGAGAGCATCTGTAGACACTGAACAGATTCTCTGATCCGTGAATGCTTTAGGTACACACACTCTTTTTCTTCATAGTTATTTTTGTTTAGATATCGTTTCAATTTAAAGAGTAGAAACTTGTAGGCAAGTCATCTTGCTTTGTAATTTGTCAACTAATATTCGAACAGAGCTTATCTTCCCAGGCAGGATGATAATAAATACGTGTGAGACAAATTATTTGCCATAACCTTTTTACTAATATTTCAGATGAAGTTCATTGGGGGAGAGGCACCGCCCTAAATGTTTTGTTGTAAATGATGCTATCATCTGTGTGCATGCTTATTATATATTGAATACAAACTTGGTAATAGTCACAAAGCTTTAATAAGATCACTTTGGGGACCAGCAGGTGGCATGGTGGTTGATATGCTGGACTCTCACTTGGCTGACCACCTTTTGAGGTGGAATCTGTGGTTTGAAACTCATGTTGGGCATTTGTGCATGTGTGCCCAAAATCCCAAGAGAAGAATGAAGAAGGAATTGAGACATGGCCATCCCCAAGGTGCGGGGAGGTTGATTTTTCACTTTCTGTCTCTCTATCTTTATCTTTCTGGCAAGTGCACATGCCCTATAACAAAAATCTCTCAAAAAAGAAAAAAGAAAGAAAGAAAGAAAGAAAGAAAGAAAGAAAGAAAGAAAGAAAGAAAGAAAGAAAGAAAAAGAAAGAAAGAAAGAAAGAAAGAAAGAAAAGAAAAAAGAAGATCACTTTGCATCTTGAAAGAGATTCTCAGAGTAGGGGTTGGCAGAGGTGTGTGTGGTCCTACAAAGTGTAACAGCCATAAGGGCAGAGACCATGGGTATTTGGCTCACCAGTGTCTCTCAAAATGTGATCTGGAGTCACTATGTGAATGACTTCTCTGAGGAGCTTTATCATTAGGAAAAAAAAATAATTATTTAAGGAATGTATAATTTTCTAGTTAGTGCCATGGAACGTGACAGCCATCAAATCTGTTTCTAAATACAAAATTCAGAGATGCTAAACTCAGTGAGCAAAAATAATTTCCTCAATGATAAACTAAGTGACAAAAAAAATTAAGGCCATTGTTTATAAGCACCAAGTACATTTTACATGGCACTTTGCCCTAATTTAAAGATTAATTCATTTTAAAAATAAAAGCATGTATGTTTGTTGTGTGCATAATCTTTATTCACTATTTTCTTTTTTTTGGCAGGGGTAGAGGTTTTTGCTGTAGGGCATGTGCGCTTGCCAGAAAGACAGAGACAGACAGAAAGCGAGAAATCACCCCCCACCAGGAGGGATGGCCACACCACAATCCCTTCTCCTTCATTCTCCTCTCAGCCAACATACAGAACTGACAATTCTACCTACACGTGTGCTTATGAGTGCCATGTACATGCTATTTCACATCTATAACTTTTTTTTTTTTTTTAGTTTTTCCTATAGGGTGTGTGTGCCCACTGAAGAGACAGAGAGAAAGTGAGAAATAACCCCCCGGGGGTATGGTCATGCTGCAATCACTTCTCCAGTCTCCTTTCAGGATCTTGGGCATGCATGCACATGTGCCCGGAGTGAGTTTAAATCACCAGGTTGAGGACTTGATCCGCAGTCGACTAAATGGGAGTCCAGCAACATAACCATTATGCTAACTGCTGGTCCCTTATTCACTATCGTTACACATATTGAAATTACACAGTGTTCTCGTAGTGCTTTGTGTTATTTGCTTAGCACACTGTATTATAGTTGGGGTTTACTTGTTTCCTCCAACTAGATTCTGAAAGTAATGCTCAATGGATGGATGGGTGGGTGGGTGGGTGGGTAGATGTTGATTGTACAGGACTGGGGTAGAATCCTAATGAAACAAATGGCCTTTAATGTTCTTCGACTTTCTGTAATTATTGTTCACTCTTATGTGTGTAGGTTGTTGGGTGTGTTGTTTGGCTGGTTACATGCACATGCACATACACACACACAGATTTTGTTAACTGATTTTATTTTCTAATAAAACCTTATTCAACCAAAGAAATCTAGTATACTGAATCAGTAGAAAGTCTTAATCATAGGGTGTTTTAAAAACACTGTATCTGATTAGTCACACATTACTATAATGCAGTCTTAAAGCTAATGATTGGCGTGGCTAAGTTTAAGTCTTATGCTTCTCAATTTCTGTGGTCCTTGTCAAATGAAGAAATAGAATCTATTGGTACATGCTAACATTGTGATATTAGTGTGACGATTAGTTCTCGTGTCCATCTATATAAATGAGGTTAAGCTTTAAAACAACTCATAGCACTTCTCCTTCTATAATAATAACTTTATAAATTTCCTTATCACTCCTTTCCTGTAAGACAAAAGCAACCTAGGGAATTACAACAAAGTCAGTGTTAGCATAGACCCTATTTAAGAGTCTAAGGCTCTTTGTGTATTTTATACTTTAGCTTGCCATGTATGGTGTTATTGAGATATATTTTAGAATCACAGAAGGTAATTTTACTTCTGCTTATACCTTTGACCTGTGATGCTAGAAGTAAATTCATAAAACCCGTTCAAACCTCTTGAAATAACCATAGGAGTTTAGGACTAGCTGATTTTGGCATATACCTTGATTTGGCAAATGAGGAAACTTGGACTGAGAGAGATTAGGTAAAACTTTCCAAAGTCCTAGGGCCTGAACTTTGTTTTCTGATTAACCACCCAGAGATTTTTCCATGTTGCTTCCCCTGTAAAAGACAGAGAATAAAATTATCTTATCAAATACCCAGGAAGGGTGTTTTGCTGAATTAATTAGTGTACAATGTCACTGAACTTATGTGTAACATTTTAATTTTCTCTTTGTTGCAGAATGCAAAGTATGGCGAAATCCACTAAATTTATTTAGGGGTGCAGAATATAATCGGTAAGCATTTTGACAGCTTGGGGAATAAATGAGTCTGGTTCAGAGAGCAAAGACAGCAGCCAATGTTTTTGCTGGTTCATTTAGGGGTCATTGTAACTGTTTAGTGCTTACAATGTTTGATGCTATCCTCAAATGTTTTGATTTTCCTGTTTCATAAATATTTTAACTCTGGAATTGGGATCCTGTACATAATTGTGTAGTTTTTAGAATTCTTCTATTACGATCGTCCTTTTCAGTATGAATAATATGATCAGACATTTTGACGCTTACCTGGATTGTGGTTATAAAGGTGTGCTACAGAAGTTATGTTGGAATTTAGTTTAGCCGAGAAATTAGGCAAATTTGAATTCCCATAGCTTTTGGGAAAAGTCTGTTCATAATACTATGAGGTTGTTGGAAAAGTCATAACATATTTTTCTTTGCAAAAATGTGGCACGGTTTTATGACAGCCTAATAATTAGGGGAGGTTTTCATTAGCAAGAGCTAGTAAAATTTTAAGCTAAAATGATTTAATTCTCAAAGGGAGAACAGGATCTTCTTTTAATCTTTTTTATTATTATTCAGTTATTTATATTTCAGTTCCTCTGTAGCTTAATATCTTGTAGTCTTGCTTTTTTCTCTCAAAAGTGTCTAACTTCCTTACTTCCCCTTTGTAGGTATACGTGGGTGACAGGGCGAGAGCCTCTCACATACTATGACATGAATCTCTCTGCTCAAGACCACCAGACGTTCTTTACTTGTGACTCGGACCATTTGCGTCCTGCAGATGCAAGTATGGAAAATCCTTTAGATATTTGCTGAATGAGAGGAGTTTTTTGGCTTGTTTTATGTATCAAGGTTTCTGCTTTTAGAATATCTGCTCTATAAAAACCCCGATGTCTAAAATACTAAATTTCTTACTGACTAGTAGAGCCCAGCATTCTGATGTTTAAATAAAGCTTTATTGCAATGAAGTATCACTATAAAAGTGAGTTCCTTCATTGTATTAATAACTTAAAGCAAGATTCAAAAAAATATGGAAGTCAGATTCATATATTTGAAAGAAATATAAATGCAATATGAAGTTAATGAAATTTTCAGCTGAGATAAAACAAAGGGTCTTAACGCTGACATGAATTGATCTCATATATCCTAGTTAAAAATTGGGATTCACTGAATTCAAATGACTAATGAATATATATTAGTGTCTTCTATGCCTACTTATAGGTTCGCTAGCATTGAAGGGGGACAAGGCCTTGGATATTGGAATCCACATATATTTTTCATCCTAGGGCTTTGTTTAGCATATTTGGCATATGCCTTGAGATCCAAATAATTCTACTAATTTTTAAAATATATATTATTAAACTTAGTCAAAAAGTAAATAGGTGAAAACAAAATCTTTTAAAAAGGAATATCTACAGGATCAGCAGATGGTGTAATGGCTACATCACTGGACTCTCATGTAGTCGACTGCAGTCCCAGACCCGGTTGCTTACGCCAGGCACATGTGCATGCAAGCCTAGGATCCTGAGAGGAGAATGGAGGAGAAGGGATTGCCGATGTGGCCATCCCTGCTGGGGGGTGATTTCTTGCTTTCTAGCTCTCTGTCTCTCTCTGTCTTTCTGGCAAGTGCATGCGTTCTATAGCAAAAACCTCTCATGTGACCAGCAGTTGGCATAATGGCTCTGTCGCTGGACTCCCATGTAGTTGACCATGGTTAGAGTCCCATACTCAGTGGCTAAAACTCATGCCAGATGTGTGTGCTTACATGCCCAAGATCCTGAGAGGAGAATGGAGGAGAAGGGATTGGCGATGTGGCCATCTCCCCTGGGGGATGATTTCTCATTTTCTGTCTCTCTGTCTCTGTCTGTCTGTCTAGTGAGCACACGCACCCTATATCAAAAACCTCTAAAAAAATTATACATCTAAACTTTACAGAGTAAAGAAATTAAGGATGGGACCAGCAGTTAGCGTAATGGCTATGTTGCTGGACTCCCATGGAGTCAACCAGTTCGAGTCTCGAACCAGGTGGCTTAAACTCACACTGGGTGCATGTGCGTGCGTGCCCAAGATCCCAAGAGGAGAATGGAGAATGGAGGAGAAGGGATTGCAGCGTGGTCAACCCCCTCCTGGAGGGTGATTTCTTGCTTTCTGTCTCTGTCTCTGTCTTTCTGGCAAGCACATACGCCCTATAGCAAAAATCTCTCAAAAAGAAAAAGAAAAAGGAAAGGCACTCCAACAGAGGTTTTATATTTCTTTTGCACCTTAATATCACTTATTACAGAACATATATTATTTTACATATTTTAAGATGATATTGCTAGAAATGTCTTCATTCTACCTACACACAACATAGTTTCTGTCAGTCATTTTCCAAAGCACTTGCTACTGGGTCTGGATCAAACAGTTGGAAAGACTTTGAAGAATTGAGTTAGGTCAGTAAAAAGTACCTTAGGCTTTTACTTAACATGCACATCTGTTATCAAAATCTGTCTGCAAATCTACTTTCTATATATCAAAGCAGTTTGTGAATATGTTGTGGGAAGCTCAATGCTCGGGGATATCTGTCATACTATAATGTTCCACAATGGCACAGAATACCTTTTGGAAGATAAAAAATCTCTTTATTTAATTTGTAGATATCCCTTTATTTAATTTGTAGAATAGCCATTACGCTAACTGCTGGTCCCATCCTTAATTTCTTTACTCTGTAAAGTTTAGATATATAATGTTTTGAGCACAAAAAAAACTTGACATGAGCAACTAAAGAGCAATGAAATAGGAAGTTGGAATGTATCATGTAACTTTGAAGATTTGGGCTGCCCCTCCTCATAATGCAATGTTCTCTTGTAGTTCAGGCTGAAAGTTATTCGTGTAGCTCTTGTCATGTATGGAATCTTCCTGATTATATATGTTGATTGATTCACTCTTTAAAATTTTCTCTTTCTAAAATAGTAATGCAGAAAGCCTGGAGAGAGAGAAATCCCCAAGCTAGGATTTCTGCTGCTCATGAAGCCTTGGAGATAAATGAGTAAGTGGGGGAAATCTTGTTGCTAAGAAAGCAGTCTTACCCTTGGCTGACAATATTCAGTTGCCATTGATAAGATACATAAATTAAGCTATATATTTGAACTGAACAACTATTTGGCATTTCTTATTTTATAAAAAAATATTTACAAATGAAGGACAGCTATGTGGAGGTGGTTTTAGTCATTCTAGAGAGCAAGTTAGTGGCTTTGCCATGACCCTGAGTGAAGTCTTTCAAGGACTATTCCTGGTTTATTGTAAGGACATAAGATAAATATAATTCTTCACATACCTCAAACATTTTAATAAGGACATTTTTCCAGATGTAGAATGTTCATCTATACTGTCACATTTTTCTAGGTGGAACTTCTACTAGTGGGAGAACTACAAAGACATAAGGTAGAAAAATAAAAACATGTAAAAAAAATTTCACGATCAAGACAAAGAGAAGAGAAAATGCTGTCCTTAGTGTTGTTAAACATTTAATGGGTTACTAAGGAAGGCTAAGAAATTTCTTCTGAAAATCTCAGGAAATCAGAAAGATTCTTAAACTTGAAGTCATAAAATTCCAGGATTGGCAGAGACCATAAAGGTCATTTAGCTCAGCCACCCATCTGGTGCTTGAATCACCTCAACACTATCCTTGCCAAGTGGTCATTGTTAAACTATTTCATGATTTTTTTTTTTTTCTGAAGAAGGTTACAGAATCTTCTTCAGAGGTCTTAGAAAAAAAGAAAACAGATTTGCTTGAGAATTGGAAATCTTGCCTTCGTGACCAGTTAACCTATATGGTTTCTGATTCTGTCATGCAACATACTTATTTTCCAGTTTCTTGTCATCCACAAATTTGATATGCCACCTTCTGTGTGTCATACATGTTTCTGAGAAAAATATCAAGACCAGGAATAGAACCATATGGCCTGACATATAGAAACTGCCCTTCAGATTCATGTCCTCATGAATCACCCTACTTTGGTATTTTTCATCCAGTAACTAAGCCACCCAGTTACACCATGATTTAACCATGTTTTTCCAGCTGAGCTTATGAATTCCAGTTGTAGCTATGAATCTTTAATTCATAGTAGATCTATTAGAGAAAATTAAGCTAGTCCAATCTGATGTATTTATTCTTAGTGAATTTAAGCTGGCTTTTAGTGGTCACTACTTCCTTTTAAAAGTGCTGAGAGACCATTCTTTTAATAATCTATCAGAATACCTTTTCAAATCACTATTCTAGAGTTTGGGAAGTCTGCCTTCTTCCCTTTTTGAAAATTTATGCTACCTTTGTCATCTCATCTTCTAGAACCTTTGCATTCTTTGAGATTCCTCCACTATCTACAGAGAGCAATTCATGGCCTGCCTACAAGGTCTGTTGGCTTCTTGGGATTTGCCCATCCCAGTGCAGTAATTCATTTAAGATGGACCAGTTATTTGCTATCTTATATCTTTTTATCCATTTTAGAGTTTAATTCTTCTCCCCTTTTCAGTCTGATGATCATTATCCTTGGTAGAGAAGCCAGGAATAAAATAGGACTGAGAGTTTTGCTTTCTCTTTATTATCCATTGCTATCAACAATAAACCTCCCTTGTTTTGATGTTGTGTAGTTTGTCTTTTTTGCTTATTTATTTTTGTGGTGGTTTTGAAGAAATTGGGATGATGATAGGGCCTTAAACAATTGAAACAGAATAGATGATTGTCTTTAGCATTTTGTTTTGTTTTATTATTATTTTTTTCAAGTTTCAGCAAACTGGAATTTTGACTCTCCTGGCATAATTCTTACAAGTTCATTCCACTCTCTTACAGTCCTTCATTACATGCCTCTTTTCATCTTTTTTTACATGTCCCTTAAAAAGTCTGACCTGGAAGAGATCTCTGTGAAGCTGTACTGCTTACTTAAGTGTCCCTCTTCTTTTCTTCCTGAGAGACTCATTTGTGATTGCAGTTACCACTGAACATTTGGAAGCCACTCAACCCTCTTAAACCAGTTTTCTTTCTTAGTCTCATGCCATTGAATCATGCCTCTTTTCTTTGAATATTTTGAAGTCCACCTTCTCTTTGATTACCCTGAACTCCAGAATGACATAGTAACTCTCTCTGAATGTTCCTATCAATTTTCATTTCACCAACTATTTTTTTCTTCTTGGTCAGAATTAGGTCCAGAGTTGAAGTTCCCCTAATTGCTTCCTCTACCATCTGGGAGATAAAATTGTTACCAAAGTAAGTCAAGAACCTGTTGAGTGCTCTCCTTCTAACCAAATGAGACTTCTAGGGGCTAGCTGGATGGTTGACACCCCCATCACCACACTCTCTGGCTTCTGTATGTGTATTGTGTTGTGACAAGGATGCTCCATCTATATCTTCCATCGAGCTGAGCAGTCCGTTCTGTACTCCCCAACCATTAGCACTTCTATCACTCTCTCCTTTTTCCTTCACTCACAAGCTCTTAGCATGTTTCTACCCCAAACTCATGAGTTTCCACATAGATTTATGTTTCTTGGCCAGTAGTGCTACTCTGCCTCTCCTTCTAACAATACTATTTGAAATGTACATGTGCACAACAAGTAAGCGAGCCCCCACCATTCTTGAGTTCCCGGCCCACCAACTATAATCTTACAGCTAATTCCTCTGATGCTATATCTACCACTCAGTGTTATAATCTCAATTTCCACTTCATTACCCTTGACACATATTTATATGTCGGCATCCGAAGCCTTAAGTATTTCTTCCGATGCCTATCCCACTTATTTTCTCCAGGGACTCACCGACAGTTTTAGCATCATTATTGTTCTTGCCAAGTCACATATGCCACCCTCCATAGTAATTGGCTTGACAGCTTTTTTTCTGAGCCTTTTTCTCCCTATTCTACAACATTCTGTTTAAATCCCCATGGATGGTTCCTGTCTGAAATTAGAGGGACTGGCTAAAGAATTGACAAGACCCTCCTCAAGTCTAAGACTAACCACTAACTCCAAACCTCCTATTAGTGGTTAAGTTCAGCCTCCTTTTCCTAGCTGGCTGTTGCCATTTATGAAGAGCAAAAGTAACAGTTGGTTTTACTTTCTGTTTGTTTTCTCTCTTGTGGTCTGATGCAGAAAAGCAGGGAAATGACCACAGAGAGGCAGTGGAGAAGAAAGAAAGTGAAGTGAAGGGTTGGGTGCAGATCAGGACCTGTGCGGTCTGCTCTGGCCTTACCAGTTCCCCGTTACATTTCCTTTCATTGGCAGTGGGTTCCTTATGTCATTTGGAAGGTTTAAATTTCTGAGAGCTCCCCTCGTTCATTAGTTAACTGTGTCTCCTTTCTGGCTTCCTACCTTATGGGGTTGTTGGAAGGATTACATGAGATGATGTACGTTAAGTGCCTGGTACAGTGCGTAATATATGTTAGGTAAAAGAACGGTGGCTATTATTGTTAAAGGCGTGCAGTTTAGCTCTTCTTAGCCACTGTAGGTAAGTCAGACTTTGAACGCTTCAGAAATACCACTACCTGTAGGTTCTTCTAGTAGTCTTTTAAAGCAGAAAATCAGTGCTAACTGTAATGAGATATTGAAGCACTGTTTTTTTTTTCCTCCATGATTAACATGATTTAATGAATTTCTCACTGAAGAAGTCCTCTGATTGAAGGGAATATATGTTTAGTAGACAGAAGCAAACTTTTCTGTAGTCCTTCTAACTTTGAGTGTCGGAGGAGATATTCAACAACAGCTGTTACATTACTGAGCATGGGCCACATGTTGCCTGCTGTACTGAGCACTTCACATGCACCACCTTACTTAACCTTCACAACAGCACCGTGAACAGCTTCCATGTTCTCCATCAGGGAGGCAGAGTAATAACTTGTCCAAAGTGACACGCTAATAAGGGCAAGAGTCCATAGTGAGCCCCATGCGCCTAACACTACACATCCTTACCTCTCGAGCTAAAATATAGATTTTTCTTTTGTGCCATTTTTTTTTTTGTGTGTCGACAACTAAAAACAGGGATGCATGAACCAGTTGGCCACTCTGCATGTTTTGGCATAACTCCTGCCCTTCTGCATGAACTCTTATAGGCTCTTAACCATATCCCTGGATTTGTAATTGATGGTGGCTGTTATCTGAATGGACAGGTGTGCAACTGCTTACATTCTCTTGGCTGAAGAAGAAGCAACCACAATTGCTGAAGCAGAAAAGTTGTTTAAGCAGGCCCTGAAGGCTGGAGATGGCTGTTACCGGCGTTCTCAGCAGCTACAGCATCACGGATCCCAATATGAAGCCCAACATAGTAAGGTTTCTTCCAGGAATCAGAATTGTAAAATGATTAATCAGTGAAAATGTTGAGTCCAGTTCAAAATGGGGTTCTCCTAGAGAAGAACAAGTATTGGTTATGGCTTTTCTTGGCTTTTATTAGTTTTTCTTTTCTTAGTGGAACATTTAGTAATAATTAACTTACAGCTTCATACTTGTTTATGTTCATGTCTTCCTTACTGCCTATAGATTGCTAACCCTAGAAATAAATGGCAGTAATGGCTAATGGTAACCTTTTTTTCTTTTCTCCTTAGAATTTTTACTTATTTCTCTCCATCCATTGCTTTTTTGTTCCAGGATATTAAGTCACAATTAAAAAAATAGGACTTAAATTAGAGTTAGTCTTATTAAAAGTTTTATTTTGTGGAACTAGCAGATGGCGTAATGGTTATATCACTGGACTGCCACATAGCCAACCATGGTTTGAGTCCCAGACCCAGCAGCTTAAAACTTATGCCAGGCACATGTGTGTGTGTGTGTTTGCCCAAAATCCCAAGATGAGACTGGAGGAGAAGGGATTGTGGCATGGCCATTCCTTCCTGGGGGGAGGGAGGGTGTTCTCACTTTCTGTCTCTCTCTCTCTGTCTCTCCAGTGAGCACACATGCCCTATAACAAAAATCTCTCTCTCAAGAAAAGGGAAAAGTTTATTTTGTAGATCTTCCCAGTATTGGTTGAAATAGGACACTTCTTTTTTTTGAGGTTTTTTGTTTGGTTGGTTTGGTTATTTTGCTATAGGACATGTATACTCACCAGAAAGACACAGAAAGAAAGACAGAAAACAAGAAATCACCCCCCAGGGGGTATGGCCATGCCACACTCCCTTCTCCATTGTCCTCTTGAGATCTTGGACACACATGCACACATGCCGAGTGTGAGTTTAAGACACTGGGTCTGGGACTCAAACCACAGTTGACTATGTGGGGGTCCAGTAACATAGCCATTACTCCAACTGTTGGTCCCAGGGCACTCTTTTTTTTTTTTTTCTTTTGGAGAGGTTTTTTTTGCTATAGGGCATGTGTGTTCACCAGAAAGACAGAGAGAGACAGAGAGACAGAAAGCTAGAAATCATCCCCTCAAGGGGGGATGGCCACGCCACAATTCCTTCTCTTCCATTCTCCTCTCAGGATCTTGGACACACATGCACACACGCCTGGCGTGAGTTTAAGCCACTGGGTCTGGGACTCAAACCGCCGTCGGCTACATGGGAGTTCAGTGACATAGCCATTACGCTAACTGCTGGTCCCAGTCCCAGGACACTCTTAAGAATATAAGAGTTAGTGGTGATTGCATTGGCAGTTAGCTCTTATTGTGAAAGTATTTGGTATTGGCTTTGAAAGAGTGCCATGAGTTTATAATTCTTTACCTTTATTAAAAAATATTGCCTTTCAATTAAAAAATTTTGATGATTGATTGATTTTTGCTGTAGCATGCACATGCTCACTGCAGAGTGGGAAAGTGAGAAAGTACCCCATGGAGCTGTGACTGCACCACGGTCCCTTCTCCATTCTCCTCTAGGGATATTGCCCATGCATGCACACATGCACGCTGTGTTTTTCAAGCCACCAGGTCTGGGACTCAAACCATACAAATGGTCATGTAGGATCCAGCTGTTTTAACCACCATGCCACTGGCTGGCCCCTATCTTTTTAAAATTTAAGTCAACCCTTAAAAGTCTGAGACCTTTTACTTCAGGATGCTAAACTAAGTGTCAGTAACACTTTGGAGGAACAGTATAGAAACAAGACAACAAAGTAAGTCTTTTAATTCCTTGAGTCCCTTAAATCATCACTTCATTTGGTTTTTAAAATCATATTTAGCAATCCTGGTGGAAGGAGAGTGTTTACATGTTCCATCCAAAATTTAAGTTGTTTTTTAAGGTGGAATTTCACTTACCTTATTTCTCTCTTCTGCAACTTGGAAGGTAGGATTATATCTCCTACTTTGGGTTTGTAAATTTATTTGGGACTATAAAATTAAACGTTATGTTAAACCTGAATTTGGTGACAAAAACAAACCTTAATCCACCATTAATCCCTATGATTAAAGTATACACAAGGTCTTTATATTACAGCCTGCATGTCCATGAGTTATATCCGCACGACTCATGCATACCCAGGTTTGTATTTTTATTCTGCAGTGAATATATATGTTAATGAAGTCTCTAATCACATCTATATTTCCCTTTTCAAAAAAGCGTATCACAATGCGTTTTGCAGATGTTATAAATGTCTGTTTTGTGAACTAAATGGGAATAAATAAAATTACATAACTCTATAAAACAATTTAAGACATTTTCTTTCTTTTTTCTCTAAATTAAATTTTTTCAACCTGTTGTCGAAATCTATCCAAAAAACGTAATCATATCTTTAAAATAATTTGTAGGTACTTGGCCAATTTTCAGCACACATCTTGTTCTCATTGTTTAAAACTTGAAATTCTAGGACTTTGTTCTTAACATCTTTTAATAGCTGCATTTTATATGTAAACTTAATCTATAACAGGTGTGTCATATTTTTCTCTAACATGGTAATTTTATTGAAGATTAAACACATGCATGTTCTCACCAGTCTAGAAACATATCCAAAAAGGCATATAATTAAATAAAAGATTAAGATAAGAAGTTGTTAATGTACTTTTTAAGAGCCGTTTTAGTGACTGTTGGTATAACCATTTAGGTTGTCAGTGGTTTCTCTAACACTGGGGTCATTTTTCATTTTTTTGCATACTCTATTGTCATATCTGGAATGTGTTATATTGCCATCTAAAATAGACTGCTTTGGGGACCTGGAGATGATTATGATGTCACTGGTGTTAGGGAAAAAATAATATAAAACAGAAAATCAAGATGAGGCTTCTCCAGATTTAATGTCAAGAATGAAAAAAAAATAGTTCATCAGGATGCAACCTGAGATTCACCTCTTTGCATCTTTACCAAAAGCATGCACACTTGAAGAATGTGGAATTCTTGCTTGTAAACCCAATGCAATGTGGGCATGTTCTTTTTCCCAGCACTTTGTAGCAGATGATTTTATTTATTGTCCAATATTCGGCATCCTCACCCAGAAGCATGGATTAGCTAATCAGTCACATGATTTGACCCTTAGAAGTTGATGTACTTTTACATAACTCTGTAGTTATTCTTTTAACAAAGTTGTCAGTGCTCCGGGCAATAAGGAAAAGACAGAGGAGCAGTCTGGTTGCTCTGAAGTTTTCTTTTAAGGGAAAGGCATATGGGCCTCTAATTTTTTTGTTTTTTTCCTGCTCAACCACAAGTTCTTATTTTTTAAAATGTTGGTGTTTTATATCTCCCTCTTCAGGACGAGACACCAATGTCTTGGTCTACATCAAGAGAAGGCTAGCGATGTGTGCCAGAAGACTTGGGCGGACCAGGGAAGCAGTGAAAATGATGAGAGATGTGAGTTGGAACTTGCATTTGGGATCCTAGGCAATACACCCATTTAAGGGACATAAGAGCCCCCCGAATGGCAGTATCAGTGATGGTGTGATGGTCATGGACTCTGGACCCAGACCATCTGGGGTTCAGCTCTAGCTTCCACCTTTTACATCTTGGGACTAGTGACTTAACAATTCTGTGCCCTCATTTTCTCACCTGTAAAATGGGAGACCTCACAGTTACTTCTTAGGATTGTTGTGAGAATTAAATGAGATAATGCATGCAAAACATTTAAGAGAGTGACTGACATATAAAAGAATCCTGATAGATGCTCTCTTTATTAAACCTTTGGGGCTGTAACCAGAAGCCAGTAATGAGTTCAGCCATTTTAGCTAACTGATTTTTTTCTGTGTAGCTAAGAAAATCTGAATAAGTTATGGGTCAAAGTGCTACCTTTAAATGGTAATATTATAGCTAATCCTATTGTAGTTATTCCAATCAAGGATATTTTATTAGTAGTAGTCAACGTGAGAATTAGGAAGAGGAGGTCAGCAGTGGCATGTAGGTAGTTGGTGGGGTGGTTAAAGTAGCAGGATACCATGGCTGGCTGGGCAGTACGAGTCTTGGACCTGGCAGTCTGAAAGCCATGCCAAGCATGTGTAAGTGCATGCCCAAAATCCCAAGAGGAGAATGGAGGAAAAGGAATTATGGCATGACCATATCCCATGAGGGGTGCTTTCTCACTTTTCCTCTCTTTCTCTTTGTAAAAAAAGAAAAAAAGAGAGAGAGAAATAGGTCAGAGTTTTAAAATAGAACCAAGGGAGGTTATTCGTATGTAACTTTGAAATAAAACAGTAGTTTTAAGGGAAACCAGTTGAAGAACTTCTCTTTTTAGAAAGAATTACTTAATTTCATCATCACCGTTATTATTATTTCATTTGACCAGAGAGAGAGAGAGAAAGGGAAAATGAGAAAACAAGCTGCTAAGTCTAGATTCGGACTGCAGTCAGCCATGTGGGAGTCCAGCATCTTCACCACCACACCACCTGCCTGCCCCAAAGAACTTCTACATACACTATTTTTTGTTGATTATAAGAAATGCTTTTCAGAAGAAACGGACACTAGCATGAATTGTATCTGAGTCATTTTGCCTTTTAAGAAACAATCACAAGAAACCTTTGTGATCATTTCATTCTGCTGTGTTCCTGAGGCCGAAGACACAGGTGACTGCCTGTTATAAAAACGATGCCAGTTCTCAGTTCACGGATATGAGCAGACAGGACTGTGCCAACCTACTGAGCTTCTTCTCAGTTTGTCTCTGGAAGGGCTGTCGGTCAGACATGTGGATTCCTAGTATTGTTTGGTGGAGGGACACTGCACTTTAGGCCTACGCTGGTTATTCCTGCAAGATACAGCGTAATGGAAGAAGACCCATGTGAGCCCCGGGGTTCAGTTCTGGCTTCTCCATTGAGCATGAGTGACCCTCCAAGCTGAGGAGAGGAAGAGGAGAAGGAACGTTATAAGGTCATTCTGTCCGACTGAAGGCAAAAGATACTCTAGGTAGCCACTGCAAAAGACATCTCCCATATTCAATGACGTGGGTTGAAAGAAGAATTTGAAGAATGTTTGTTATATAGCATAGGTGCTCTTTTTTTAAAAAAGTTACCTTGCATGAAATTTATTTTTAAGATTTTTTAGACATTCAATCACTATATACCATTATAGTTTGCGATATGAATTTTCCCAGCATGAGTACACTGCATATTAGTCCAGTTAAAGATATCATCATATAGACACCCACAGATGGCATAATGGCTATGTCGCTGGACCCCTACTTAGTAGACTACAGTTTGAGTACTGGACCCGGCAGCTTAAATTCATGCCAGGCTCATGTGCGTGCATGCCTAGAATCCTGAGAGGAGAATGGAGGAGAAAGGATTGTGGCATGGCCATTCTCCCTTTGGGGTAATTTCTTACACTCTGTCTCTCTGTGTTTCTCTGTCTCTCTGGTGAATGAATGTGCCCGATTGCAAAAATCTCTCTCTAAAAAAAAAGGATATTGGGACCAACAGTTAGCATAATGGCTATGTTGCTGGATTCCCACGTAGTCGACTGCGGTTCAAGTCCTGGACCTGTTGGCATGAACTCAGGCGTGTGTGTGCGTGCCCAAGATCCTGAGAGGAGAATGGAGGAAAGGGGATTGCGGCATGGCCATCCCCGCTGGGGGGTGATTTCTTGCTTTCTGTCTCTCTGCCTGTCTCTGTCTTTCTGGCGAGCGTACGCGCCCTATAGCAAAAACCTCTCCAAAAAAAGAAAAAAAAAAGGATATTACATGTTATCATGAACATCTATTTTTATATCTCTTAATTTTTTTGAGAGGTTTTTGTTATAGGGCGCATATGCTCACCAGAAAGACAGAGACAGGCAGAGAGACAGAAAGCAAGAAATCACCCCCCAGCGGGGATGGCCATGCCGCAATCCCCTTTCCTCCATTCTCCTCTCGGGATCTTGGGCATGCATATACATGCGCCTGGTGTGAGTTTAAGCCACCAGGTCCAGGACTTGAACCGCGGTCGACTACATGGGATTCCAGCAACATAGCCATTACGCCAACTGCTGGTCCCTGTCCCTTAAATGTTTTGCTTCTTTCTTTTTCCCCTTGATTCTCTTCCTTGCCCTCTCCCCCATTTCCTACCCTCCTCCCACACTGTCTCTAGTATCTGCAGTTGTTCTTCATGCTTTTATATATTCCAATCTTTTGGGACCAGCAGGTCAGAGTGGTTAAGGCGCTCGACACTCCCACATGGCCGACCATGGTTCAAGTCCCAGTCCTGGTGGCTTGCTTTCTCACTTCTCTCTCTCTCTGTGTCTCTCTGGTCGAATTAAAATAAATAAATGGATAAATAAAATTAAATAATTTTAAAAATTCCAATCTTTCAGTTTCAGCCACAGAGTGCAGATATTTGGTATAAAGTGAGGACATATAATGCCTCTCCTTCAACCTCTGGCTTGCTTCACTTAGTAGTAAATCTTCCATGTTCATCCACTTCCAATCAAATGCCAGGGTCTTGTTTTTATGGCTGAGTAATATTCCATAGCGTGTATGTGCCACATGTGCTCGTTTTAAGAAGAGGGCATTTCTGCAGAGACATGAACTTGCCTTCAAAACTTTTTAATTTGTAGAAATCCTATCCCTTGATATAGCAGAGAAACGCTGCCTGTCACTTCGGCTCTGGAAGAGCTGGAGATTCTATGAAGGAGGGAGTATTTCTCTGTCTGAGCTTTGCTCAGCCACATTCAGCCTTTATCACGGTGTCATAGTTACTCTCCTTGACCTTATACTAGCCTAAGACAAGCATGTATGGAGAAGATTTTAATGATTTTTAAATTGTATATTTAAGCAACTTCATAGGAAAAACAGATTCTGATGATTCTAATTCCAGCTTTTCATACCAACCTCCTTCTGGCTACCATCATTTTCAGTATATACCTTAAAAATTCACATAATTTAAATGAATACATTTTTGTGCTGCTTTTTTTTCTGGTTTAACATAATTTTAAATTTACAATTCTATCTATTGATTTCATCCAAATATGAAATCTTAAGGGAAAGGCTGGGAAGCCGCAGAAAAGACATTGAACAGGGAATCAAAAAGCCTGGGTGCGGATCTCAGCTTTGCTCTTTGTTAGCGTCATGACCCAAGGCATCTGTTTGCCTTCACGTGCTTTTCATTTTTTCTTCTGTAAAATGGGGATGGTGACACAAGACCATCTGAAAATACCTGGCATAGAGTAGACATGATTATCATCCCCCCCGCCCCCCCGTTTTTCTTTTATATAAGTATTCTGTAATTTGTTTTACCATTCTCCTGATGGATTTGGGGATATTTCTGATGCTTTTTTCTTTAATGAATTCATCCCTCAGCCAAGTAATCTTTCTTGCTATCCCTGTACATGTGTATATGCATGTGTTTATATATGTTTGTAACTGATAATGTTATATTATCACAGATTTCTTATATTTTTTTTTCTTTTTCTTTTCTTTCTTTTTTTTTTTTTAGTATTTTTTTTCTTTCTATAGGGCACATGTACTAGCCAGAGAGAGACAGAAAGATACTGAGAGAGAGAGAGACAGAGACAGAGAGACAGAGAGAGACAGAGAGAGAGAGAGAGGGAAAGTGAGAAATCACCCCTCAGGGGGGATGGCCAATCCACAACTTCTTCTCCCTCTTCTCCTGTCAGGATTTTGGGCAGGCACACGTTTGGTGTGATTTTCAAGTTGCTGGGTTTGGGACTCAACCACACAGATGACCATGTGGAATCCAGAACCTTAACTTCCACACCCCCTGCTGGCCGTCTTGTATTATTGTTCTTTAAAAATCTGTTACATTCTTAGAATACTAACACATGATGCTTTTTCTCTGAGTGTATGTAGCATCCAGTAGATGTGGCCCTTATTGTAACAGTCCTGCAAGAGATACTGTCCCATGTGATTTAAAGAAAAATATTCAAAGATCTATTTCCTTTGTAAATTCCTTTTACCAATCTTTGCTCCCCAAACATAGGAGGGGAGATTGAGGACTTTTCTCTCTGATAAAGCCACAACTGGCCCCAGCTGCTGTAGACAGTTGTTGGTCAGGCCCCCCTTATTTGACTCCTGTCAGGCAATGGGTCGTGCATTCCCAGGGACTTCACCAAAAGGTTCACTTCTTCAACAACACACACATAGGGACCAGCAGTTGCGTAATGGCTATGTCACTGGACTCCCATGTAGTTGACTGTGGTTCGAGTCCTGGACCTGGCAGCTTAAACTCACACCGGGCATGTGTGCGTGTGTGCCCAAGATCCCGAGAGGCGAATGGAGGAGACGGGATTGCGGTGTGGCCATCCCCCCTGGGAGGTGATTTCTTGCTTTCTGTCTCTCTCTGTCTTTCTGGCAAGCACATGCACCCTATAGCAAAAAAATAAAAATAAAAAAAAAACTCTCAAAAAAAAAAAAAAAACAACACACACATAAACCA